ATTTCCTAGCAAAGCAAGTACAAAGGTGAGTCGAAATCGATATAAAGTTGTTTGTGAATGTCTGTGTCTCATTCCGAAAAGGTGGCAATAGCTTGAACCCTAATGAATTGCGATTATTATTTTGCTGCCTGGTAGTCCTTGAAATCATGTTTCAGTCATTGGAACTTCCTTAAGCTTTGTGAGACATTAATTGATTTACATTTAATATTATCTGAAGAGTATTGGTATAGATGTAAATAAAGTGCGCTGGATGTGTATGACAGGAACCCTAACCCCCAACCCCTGTCCAGGAAAACAAAGAATTTTTACAGTAGGATAGAGTGTCAGGACAGACTTGTTGGGTGCTCCCGGATGTCGGGTGTGCTCTCTACCCTGCTGAATATGTGGAGGATTTTTTGTTTTCCTATGCGGCAATGTGGTGCAATAGCTTCCCGGAAGGGGGCTAGCAGGGGGCAAAGCCCCCTGTATAAGACAATATAGTGAATGATTCTTTGTATATTCATATTTTACCTTGCAGTCTCCCTAGTACCTTTTATGCCCTCCCCTGCTATCAGGGGGGTTCTGTGGCATACTTCCTACATATATGTGTACTAGAGAGTGAGAGGAATCCATCAATACCAAAATTTCCATGATCATGGTTATGTTACACTATTCCAGAAAATTACCAGGATAAGATGATATCACAAAAGCATTTGTTTGTAAACAATGACAGTTGCAGGCAACCATAAGATATTGGTAGGCAAATTTATGGCCCTTTAATGTTGTTATCAAATTGTATTTTTGTTATTACCAGTTGCAGGTAAGTTACCTATGTATCAGAGGAATTACCAATGCAGAGTGTAAAATAATGACACTGGTATGATAAAATAGTGAATGTTTACTTTTGGTCTGATTGTATGGTGGGCAATGAAGGCCTCGGGGGTTCTAAATACAGCCTCATTATCCTCCTGGTTCTGTCAAGTTGCTTGGATGAACAAGACAAGGACTTCTAAATGCAGCTAGAGTCCATGTGCAGTAACCTATTCCTGCCTGCTTTGACAGATAGTGCAGGGTATGTAACAGAAAATTGAATACCAAGGAAATAAGAAAAGATAACACAAGTAATACATTGTTACTCCTCATTATTGTTATTGCACAGAATTGTAGACTACCTGGAGAGATACTGTGGAGTGTGCTTAAGTAAAGCAGTGTATTACCTATTTCCTACAGCATAACACATGACAAATGTAAACCTTGGAAAATGCAGAATAAGAGCTAATAGTATAGCAAAAAAGAGACAAGGAGTTGTGAAATTGCGCAATAGTGTTTGCGTAGGCAACACCTACAAGATACCCAGGAGAGTAACCACCCAAGTAAGCCGGATGCTCAGATTTTGATCCAAGTGCAAGCTGCAAGGCACCCAGATCCAAAGGGTTAGGGGATGCACCATTTAAAACATCCTTTGTAGGTGGGGGAGGCAGCTGTTCCTTTTACCTGGAATGCAAAATCACCTGACCAGCATGATAGGGCCTAGAACAGTTGTTCTTCACCGTTTTAGAGTCACAGACCCCTTTAACCCAATGCTGACGGGCCATGTGTATCGGTGTCATAACAAATCACTTAGTCTGCAGGGTAAGCCTATGTGGGCGGTGACACACCAGAACGCTTGGAGCGGGATGTTCGGCTTGATGTAGAGGACTCCCACGCCCAGTGTCTGGCTGTTGGCAGAAATCTCCAGAGTTTAAAGTTCTCAGAGATTTTTTTCACCCGTCAGTGTCGGGTTAAGAATCTGATGAACACAACTTTGCATGCAATGTGTATAATGTACTTTATTTATTGAGATGTGATTGTCTCATGCTTATGATATTGGTGGTAATTAGAGTGCCAAAATGCCAAGCAGTCACAGTATGACTCAAATGTGTTTTCTTTATTTACTTTAATGAGAGGGCAAACCAAGTTAGATTCTAGTGTCAGAAAAATAATGCATTGACCAATAATGAAGAAATGCAGGTGCCATTTGCTGTATTTCATTCAGAGTAAATTAAGGAAGGACTTCACATAAAAGATTCCCTAATTGATTTTTTAATCCCATGTTTAACCCCAAATTTATTATTTTGGAAAAAAATATATATACTGAATTGGCTTTGTCATTTCTTTTCTAGAGTAGCAGACAAATTGAGTTCTTGGTGATCAAGTATTTGTGGGCCCATCTATGTGTTCACAAATTTAATAAACTAAAGTCACATTGACAGTCTGCATGAATGGGTGAATGTCCATTTGCTCTTAAACTTTGTATTATTTTTCAGGCTGGAGAAATGGTTCGCAAAGGCAAAGATGGGGCCCTTCACCTTCGTCAAATAAGACATTACATAGAGACTGGAGCTTATCTTGCTTCTGTTCACTTAACAGAGAAAAATGGAATTAGAAAGTCAGCCAAAAAGTTTGTAATTGAAGGTATGTATATGTCATGTACATAATTTATTGTCTTTGTGCCATGTCTTGTAATTATGATACATTTTACATGTTTTCATATATATTTATTATTTAGAGAATATATTGATAATTAAATAAATAATTACAGATAAAATGATGTATTATGTTGGCAAGGATGGCTCTGAAAAGAGGTTGGTGCTGTACACCAATGAGGAGAAAAACAAAGCATTTGAGGAGTGTCATGTTCTGCATAAATCTGGGGAACATTGTGGTGAGTCATAGTGTTTTGTTGGTGAGAATTTTGTGAAAAGTAGTTGAAAATTATTACTTCAGTGTTCATCATTATTGCTCTCTCTTTGCAGGTCGTACCAAGACATTACACCGCCTTGCAAGCAAGTACTATTGGACGAACATGGTAGAAGATATTGTTGCTATGGTAATGAGCAAGTTTATGTTTTCTTTATATCTATTTTTTTTATCATTGCAAATAAGATTATGCTAATGAGATTCACAGTTGCTTTGGCTAGATTTTTTTCTATGTATGATATTACTGTTTTTGTTTCATATTTCAGATTGTTAGATGCAAAACCTGTGAGTTCAACAAATTAAACAGACCAAACCAGAGATATGTTAGAGTAACTGAGCCGTGGGAGGTAGGTGCCACATGGTTAAAAGGATTAGTTCTAATGAAAAAAAAAATATATATATATTTCCCAGAAGATACAGATAGTTCACTGTATTATTATGTTGTTCGATGTTCATAGTAACAAATAAATTATGTTGCCACAGTAGTATTGCCAGTTGCATAATTGATGACATTTAACTTTTTATATAAATAGCTATGGGTGAAGATTATTTCCTGGATAATTAAATGTAAATGGCAGAAAGTAATAAAGTTCATTTCTTATCCTCAGGTGGTGAGCATTGACATTATTGGTCAATTTGTCACTTCAGACCGAGGTCATGTTTTTGTTGCAGTCATAATTGATATGTTCACCAAATACACTGTGGCTGTTCCTCTAAGGGACACAACAGTAGCTGACTTGACTTCTGCAATCCAAGGCATTGTCTTCCAGCAAGGCCCTCCAAGGAAATTTATATCAGATCAGAATGAAGACTTTATCAAAGAGGTTTGTAGACTTTGTAATGATTACAACAAAATTTGTTCATAATTTATGCAGACAAGCTCTATATTGTAAATTACTTTTTCATCAGCTGAACCAGGGCCTAGAGATGGATGTTGGTCTAGTGGGTAATGTGGTGGCAGTGAGCAAGACTCAGATCAACCGGCCAGATGAAGCCAGCATAAAAACCTCCATCTTGCACCATTGTCTGGAGTCTGCCAGCTTTTGGGATGATCTGCTTCAGAGAAAGGTACTTACTTTTGTTTGTGAAAAAATGTTCAGGATATTTTCCCAAGAGAAATATGAGTTCAGAATATATGCGCAGAATGGTTATTTTTTCAGTGGACATCAGTCTATTCAGTGGTTTTACTAAATTGCAGGTTTATGAAATCAACACAACATATGTAACTGCTAGTGGACATACTCCATTTTACCTCATGTTCCATCGCCAAGTAAGGCCATTGGATTTCAATTCCAGCTTCCAGGTAAGGATACTGAAGAATGATCAAAAAATATTATTTATTATTTGTATATATTAGTATTTTCTTAAAGGTGTGTATACAAGCACTAAGTAACCTTAGATCTGTTTACTTTCTTTTTGTCTCGACTTTAGCTGTTTACTGAAAAATTTGTTTTCAGGTTAATGGTAATGGAAAGCCAACCTTTGTGGTAAGAGACATTGAAAGATATATGGAGGAGAGGGAGCAAAAAGCAAATGATATCATTAATCAGGTATGTTTTGTGTCAGTGAGCTCCCATAGTACTATTGTTTTATTTTTAATTCCCATTTTTCCATGAACAAATTATTTTGTCATCACTTACAGTTTGATTTTTAATCTAGCAGATATTATTGCCTTGTCAGAACTTACCAGTCTTTTTTCTCAAATTTCTACATCAGAAATAAGAAAAAGCTAAATACTTTTTGCTTTACTTTGGAAAAGAATCCATCATTTTTAAAATGTCTAAGCCTTTTAGTTTTTAGTTAATTTCATAGAGAAAGGTCTACTAAAGTAAAATAATATTTCTATTTAACTGAAGGTGTTGACTGGCCAGTCATCACAGTCAGAGCATAAGATTTGTCCAGAGGAGGTTGCTGCAACTGAATGTGTGGAGAACATCACCACAACAGCATTGCTAGATGCAGTACATGATGGCAGTCATGATCACCAGACCAGTGTTCAGGTTGTAACTGGGACTTCAGGGCCTGACGAAGATCATGCTCACTATACACATGTGGCTCATCTTTCAGAAGGACAGGTAATACACCCCTTTTGGATAGTAGTAGTAGTCATAGAAGTCGTAGTCGTAGTAATAGTAGTAATAGTAATCGTAGTAATAGTAGTTGTAGTAATAGTAGTCGCAGTAATAGTAGTCACAGTAATAGTAGTCGCAGTAATAGTAGTCGTCGTAATAGTAGTAGTCGTAATAGTAGTAGTAATAGTAGTAGTAATAGTAGTAGTCGTAATAGTAGTAGTCGTAATAGTAGTAGTCGTAATAGTAGTAGTCGTAATAGTAGTAGTCGTAATAGTAGTAGTCGTAATAGTAGTAGTCGTAATAGTAGTAGTCGTAATAGTAGTAGTCGTAATAGTAGTAGTCGTAATAGTAGTAGTCGTAATAGTAGTAGTCGTAATAGTAGTAGTCGTAATAGTAGTAGTCGTAATAGTAGTAGTCGTAATAGTAGTAGTCGTAATAGTAGTAGTCGTAATAGTAGTAGTCGTAATAGTAGTAGTCGTAATAGTAGTAGTCGTAATAGTAGTAGTCGTAATAGTAGTAGTCGTAATAGTAGTAGTCGTAATAGTAGTAGTCGTAATAGTAGTAGTCGTAATAGTAGTAGTCGTAATAGTAGTAGTGGTAATAGTAGTAGTGGTAATAGTAGTAGTGGTAATAGTAGTAGTCGTAATAGTAGTAGTCGTAATAGTAGTAGTAGTAATAATAGTAGTAATAGTAGTAGTAGTAGTGGTAGTGTTATTAATTTTGTAGGTGCTGTATTGCATTTACTTTATTTAATTTTATATTTTTAACCCACTGGATCTGGTTGCTTCATGGCAATCATGTGGCTCAAAATACAGGCATTTAGCATACATGAGCAGCTACTCTGATGGATGCACAGCTTGTCGGCTGGGCTCACACAAACACTTGTGTGCGGTGACAAGACTTTATGTCTCCCCTCTGCAATGTTATTGTTTCACTTTTTATGCATAAGCATTTTTATTTTTTTGCCATTTTCCAATCTCCATATTTGTCATTTGATTTGCTTTATCCAGATGGTAATAGACTGTATTCCTTGCATAGAGACTCCATCATTTCTCCAGGTAGTCCATAACTCAGTGCAAGAATAATAACAATAAATAACATTTTGTTATCTGTGTTGCCCTAAGCCAAATTTTTTCAAGATATGATGGTCATGTCATCTTTGTTGTAGGGGTTAAATTATGTAAAGATTTGAAGCATCTGTCAGCAATGAACTGTAATATGTGATCTCTAATGTCTAACTTAAACTTGCAGGTGATTCAGGACCCAGGAGGCTCAGTATATGAAATGGCTGATGGTGAGGGCCATGTTGTGGTGGTAGCAGACGGAATGCCTGGACTAGAGGATGGAAGTGAAGTACCTGGTCAACATATGGTAGTTGTTCAACCTGGTACAGGAGACCAGAATGTAGTCATGCTCACAGAGAACCAAGTTATCATGGAAACAGTGGATGGTCAGCAGTTTACATACATGCCACAAACATGAAACAATATCAGTCAAAATTTTTACCATTGATTAATTGCAAATCTGTGGAAGTTTCTGAGTTTAGTTGGTTGAAACCTTTCTTGCAGTTGAATGAGAAACTTATCCCTTTGTGAAAGGCATCTGCAAGAAACTTTTTTGAAATAATATGGCTGTTTATGCTTCTTTGCATTAACTAAGTAGATGGTTGGAACTGCAATTAGGGGGAGAAGGTGTACCCTGACTTAGATACTTTTTCAGCATTGAAGTACAAAATGTATCTCTTTTTATGCCAAAGTAATTGGAATTTTGAGGGGGTTTGATCAAGATATTAGCAATAGAGATGCTATGTATACTCTTGTTTTTTGCTTTTCTTTTCTATGATATATAACTTTAATACAATTAAATGATATACAAGTTTTCAAGAGGCTGTTAGAATATGTGAAATATATAAAGTATATTTGTATGTTTGTTTTCATGTTATTTGATAGTTATGACTCCCCACTGAGATTATTTATAAAAACTGGAAATTTGTATATGATAAGGAAATTACCCTTTTTTAAAATAAATGAATTCAGATATATAAATTTATCAATTTCCTTGTGATATTTTAATACTGAACTCCTGAAGGTATCAGTATTAACCAATAGTAAGTTACATTTTTCTTGATGCTTATGATTTTAAATATATTTATTTTTACCCTATTTATAGTTCTTGATGCTTGTGATTTTAAATAGTTTATTCATACAAAAATCAGTTCCAGATATTTCCATACTTTAAATCTGAATCTTCTTATAGCTCCCCTCTTTTACATTCTTGAAAAATACTTACAGGAAACTCAGTCTTATGATGAAGCTACAAATGTGGGGTATTGATCCTGAAAAATATCATTTCTGCAAGAACATTGATCACAATAGCTCCTTCAAAATCCAAGTTGTATTTTAAGGAACTGGATAAATTTAATTTTACTAATACAAACTAAAACTGCAATTCATTTTTTTTTGAAATTTAAACATCTCATAACTATTGCAAAAATAACTGAAATGATTCTACAGACATGATGGACCATTATTTGTTACATTACACAAAATTATAGTAGTTTATTTTGAATGTCCATCGATGTAGTGAAGGAGTTGGTTTTCTGATGTACTTCCTTTATCACTGTGCTATGCTCTTCTCTGCTCTCTACATTTCTCTCATCTCTTGTAGCTCCCTTTGAGCCTGTTTTTCTCTCTCCTCTGAGCTATAGGAC